CACGGCGCTTTCCCGGGACCCCCACGGGTACACCGACAGCCGCGTGGGGAGCTGCTCGTGCGAGCTCGGCAGCCACCGATCCCGCTCAACCGCCTGACCGGTTCTGCCCCGTGTCGTGTTTGCACAGAAAGGCAAACACAGCACCGCGTCGCCAGGCTCCGCTTCCGCCCCGGCCGGAGGACCAGGACCGGCAGAGAAGGAAGAAAGAGCGATGGGAGAGCCCCGTTGCTACTGCCGGTTCATTAACATTTTGATTAGCTGTAACAAGTGCCGGGTCACAGCCTGCTCTTGTTAAAGTTGTGAAATAGTTTGCTTTCTAACCCCCTGTAATTACTCCCGTTAGGCTCTGAAAATTTCATCGTTTTAGATGAAATTTCCCCAGGCTTGGCCTCAGCCCAAAGATTAATTTATATAAAAGGCCTGAGCGAGGGGAAAAAAAAAAAAGAAAAGGTTCTCCCCGTTTGGTGGGAAGAGAGAATAAGAAATACCCATTTTCTCCCCATCGACAAAATAAAAGAGAAGGAGAGAAGAAAGGAGCATAATGACTCTTTTCTGAACAGTGTGAAAGCCAGTGCAGCTGGCAACTGAAAACTGCAATTTGGCAGTGGAACCCGCCTTTGCTGGGGAGGCCTGTGCCGGCACCTCCCAGAGAAATTTGGGTTGAGTTGGTGGAGCTCTGGCCATGCGGGACCCCTGGCTCAGGGCCGGGGAAGCTCCCCGGGCTGGCGCCGCGGGGAAGGACCAGAGCAGGATGCTCGGGGCTGGCAGAGGAGCTGTGGTTTTCCCCAGGCTGCCAGTGAGGTTTGTAGCTGGCATTGGAAGCTGGAGCTGTTCTCCGCAGCGCCCGGGCTGCTTTGCTCCCTGAGCTGAGCCCTGGGGAGCGGGCAGGAGCGTGTCAATCCCAGCGGACACCCGTGGTCCTCATGGTGCTGCCCCAGTACAGCCCAGCACCGTGCCGGAGCTGCAGGAGCATCTCCCTGCCCTGTGGCCGGGGCAGGGCGGCCATGCTGGGCTGGGTTTGGGGTGCCCAGGGCTTTGGAATGGCAGGGGTCCAGCTGCCTAGGGATTTGGGGTATCCAGAGGGTTGGGATGGTAGGGGCTCCAGTTGCCCAGGGGTTCTGGGTACCCAGGGATTTGGGATGGCAGGGGCTCAGGTTGGCCAGGGGTTTGGGGGGGGCAGGGGTTTGGGGGAGGGCAGGGATTTGCAGGGTCGTGCAGGGTTGTACGCTGGGAGAACAGTTGGAGAGGACGGCGCTGGCGGCAGCTCCTACCTCCATCACGGGGAGGCAGGGAGTGATGGGGGTGGCTGGAGGGCAAGCGTGAATTGGGGTTCATCTCCCCGCACAGCCACCTCCCCGACCTTGGGCGAGCTGGGTTTTCGGCCAACTTTCTCCCTCCGTGGTGGCCTGACAGGAAGGGAAAAGCATCTCTGGGTGCTGCTCAGCACCCAGCCGGGTGCTGGCCCCGCGGCAGGAGCCCAGCCGGCGGTGGAGGCTCACGTGTGGCACTCAGCGAGGCGCCGGGCCCGGCTCCGCCGTGAGTCAGCAGCGTTTTACACCCACTTGGCCCTGGTGGAAGTGACGGCGGGCGGCAGCGGAGAGCGGCTGTGTGGGTGCGGGAGGTTACGGTGCTGCCGGGATGTCTGTGCGTGCGGGGACGGGGATTTTAGAGCTTGCTGAAGAGTGTGTGGGAAGCGAGCGGAGAAAAGCAGAGTGAAAGCAAGGGTTTGTGCCAAGGGTTTAATGAGAAGGTTCCCACAAAGGGGTAAAAAAAAAAAAAAAATCAAAATAAAGCTACAAGTCCCCGTGAGGAGGCTTTGCCAGCCCCTAAGCAGAGGGGGGCAGAGGGCTGCTCCCTCTTTCCCAGCCCACCTGTGGCCCCGGAGGGCCAGCAGCAGGCTGGCACCCGGCCCCCTCGCTGGAAGAGCTTCGCCTGGGTGTACGTGCAGAAGTTTGCCTGGCACGCGGCTCCCCAGCGAGCCGCACCAGCTGCCGCCCGCGCGCGGGCACCGGCTTTCCTGGCACCGACCCCAAGACGGGCTGTCGCTGGCCCAGCTCCGAAGGGCTGGGAGAAGCCCCCGGCCCCCAGGCGAGCGCCGCGGCGGGCGGCACACTGAGACGGGCTACGAGGAGCCGGCGGCGTGAGTCAGGCGCACGAGACCGGGTCCCTTATCACCCACATGGCCTCGACGGAACAGGCAGCGCCGAGCGATGGAAGCCCCCGGCACTGGGTTCCCACTTGCCCAGGCTCAGCCCCATCCTTAAATCCAGTCCCTGCTTGTTCAGGGTTTCCTCCACAGCCTCTTTTGCGTTAAACATCATTATAAGGAGATTATTTCCTGCTTCGTTCCCTGTTTTTAACCCAGCCCGGGGGCAAGGAAAGTTGAGGTTTAGTCCCCAGAGCTTCTGAACCACCGTTGCGGTGGTTTTCTGGCTCTTCCCAGCCCAGTACGGCTCCAGAGAGCTTCCACCTGATCCCCTCCATCCCACGAGGCCAGGTTGGGCTCTGCCCCTCGAGGTTCCCACAAGCCCCAGCCCGTCCAGGTGAGTGTCCCAGCCCCATGGCCCCGTGCCGGGGTGGGTCTCTGACCCCCTCACCCCAGCAGAAGGGGGAAGCGGGCACAGCCCCCAATCCTGGGAGCAAAGCCCCCAATCCTGGGAGCAGAGCCCCCGGCTGCCGTCATCCTCCCCTGCCCCATTGCCTCCATCCAGGGACACCTGCTGCACCCGGTTGCAGGGTCTCCTCCTCGGTCCTGCTCCCTCCCAGTCCGGGGACCCCCAGACCAGCACCCCGGGGACATGGCTGGGGGTGGACGTGCCTGGCAGGCCCCGCTGTTTGCACACCCCTGAGTGCTCCGCAAAGCAGCTCTCCCGTTTGTTTGCTCTTCGCCTGCATCTCTGTAGCAAATGTTAAAGAGGCAATAAACGCCGAGGCAGAAATTGCCTTGGCCTGTTGGGGAGGGCGCAGATAACGAGAGGCAGCGCACGGCTCGCACCCGCTCCAAGATTCCGCGCCGGGTTTTCCGCCTCCCGCAGCGGCCGCCGTGCCCGCAGTGCCCCGGCAGCGGCCGCCGCGCCCCGGCACCGGGAAAACCCGGCCTGGATCGCACCGGAGCGGGGCAACAGGGAACCTGCGGGGGGGAATGGGGGTGTGTGTGGCAGTGGGGGGGTTCTGTGTGAGCCGGGGGTGGGGGCTGCCCTCTGTGTGTGTGCGGTGCGTGGGGGTGTCACCGCGCGTGTGTGCCTGCACGCGTGTGCAGTCCCTTCGTGCTACTCATGTGCGTGTGCAAGCCCCTCCGTTCCCGCGTGTGCGCGCCCAGTGCCCCGCGGTGCTTGCCATACGTCTGCGCGCTCCCGTGTCCGTGTGTGTCCCACCCCGGGTGCGGTGCGTGGGTGGGTGCCAG